GCGCGTACTTGAGCAGACGGTGCGCGCCGCAGTTGGCGCAGGGACCCTGGCGCCTGGCAGTAGGGCGTGCGCGGCATGTGGACGCGCGCTCGGGTATTTCTCGGGTATACCTGGATATATACCTGGACTTTTGCGGGTATACCTGGGTTTTACCTGCAAGTTGCTCACGCACTTGTATTTGAATACCTTCTTCATATTCATGAGTACAGGCAGACTTGAGTATTCATATTCATGGATACCACACGTCATGACTACTCATACTCAACAATACAAGCTGCCAAAGGATGAGTTGAGTTACTCATTGTAATCATGAATAGGCTTGGCCCAGGCGCCCCCCCCGCCGCCCGCGCCCGCCGCAGCTCTATAACTGGTTGGGTAGTAGTCTAAGTTCTGAGCCTCGAGACTGAGCGGGTCTAAGTGTGCTTTTAAGCACACTGGGGTGCTAACGCGGTCTATTGCACCCGGCGGCACGGGGGCAGGCGCGGGCCTCCTACTGGTTGCGCTCTCCTAGATCTAGTTCTCCTGCTCCTGACAAGGGACAGCGACAGGTTCGCAGCACAGTGGACTCCCTATTCCACTGGCGATCTCTCTCGACTAGCGACCTTCCCGTCCGGCTTCTCGTGCGAGGGAGCCTAGGAATTCCGTGTTGGGATGTTAGTTAAGAGGGAGATGCGCGCGAGGTAATTAAATTAAAACGGACATCCAAGATCCCTAGGGCTGGGTCGAGGACAGACACGTCCCCACCTTTGCAGGATTTTGCAAAAGCGAGGGGGGAGGGCGCATCGCCGCGCGGAGAGAGCTGGGCACAGGGCACAGGGGATCTCTCTCGCATAGGATACACACTCGGCGGCACGAGGGCAGGGCTGGGCGTCCTATTTGTGCTCCCCCCCCGGACTCATCTGGGGGGCGAGCTGCGGGACTGGAATGTTCTCTTCCAAAAGAGAGGCGCTTGTATTTTAAGAATGCTTCCAAAATTCTTTTCGCGAGGATTGCCTTCGCGGCAAGCGAAAGAACACCTGTATATGCTCCCGCAGGTCCTCGCGTCTCCGACGAACTTCCAACTATACCAGCCGCGATGAGCTCGGCGGCCCTGCTGGCCGATGCGTGGGCGCGCAGCCGGAAGTGAGGGTCGGGGCGGCCATTTGGATGGCGCGCTGCCCGGCGGGTAGGGGTGTTGGGCCTTGGGCGGGGGAGCGCGTCGATTGGGCGGCAGCGCGCACCTACATGGCCTGGCCAGCGTCGCGCATGAGAGCGAAAGCGAGAGCTGGAGAGGCGCTTCAAGCAAAAATGGCCTCTTCAGGGGCGTCGTTTTGCGGGACTGTGCCGGTAAACACGTATTTTTCGCTAGGTTTCTGCA